CATGAAGAGTAGGTAGTTCGTTGTTTTTACATGCGCACATTCCCGGTTTACTAGCTTTTGCTACCTTTGGTAAAAAACTCTTCGAGGTAAAAAAACCCATCTCTTCCGTAAGGTTTGAGAAAATTGGAATATTCTTCGCTTCTGGAAGACCAATTCCTAAGAAGATTGCTTTATAGCCGGAACTTTGAAGACCCTACAAAGTTTCGATGTTTCAAATCTGTTTGAAATCCAAGTTTCGAAATTGGACCGCATAATTCAATTCAATAATCACATAAATACCTGTATCGTTAGATCATTCTCGGATAATACTTTACCAAGTTCGATCTTCACACCTAAATCTCTCGCAAGATCTATCTCAAACTTAACAACGTCGTATGGCAGTCGATATTGCGGGATCTCTGACGAGCTTAAGCCACCGATGTAATTTTCTTTCTCAAATATTGTAATATTATCATAACCCAACCGTGCAAGGAATGTTGCACAGGACAACGAAGCTGGCCCACAACCGAGCAAAGCGATTTTAGTATCGGGATGTGGAACACTTTGTCCAGGAATTCTAGTTTGTGGTATGTTCATTTGCTTGAAGACCTGAGAACAACAATTAATGAGCCACGTCGTATCTGTTATACGGAACATCATCCGGAAACAATCAACTCCTTACATCTGTGGCGAATTGTTGAAGACCACCGATATTGATGGGTCCTTCCTCAGATGCATGTAAATTACAACCACCCACGCATAGATCACTTGTCGGACAAACCATGCCGCAAGTAAGCCCGAGAGGATTATCGGACAGAATCGCTTTTGCTGCCCCATAGTAATTCTTATTTGAAATAGAAGTTATAAAGGATTTAATGTCCAATTGCGTGGGACATGACTTTTGACAGGGAGCATCCGCACATTTTAAACAACGCGCCGCTTCTTTCAATGCACTACGTTCGCTTAATGTGGTATGCTTAATGTCATCGAAATTCTTCGTCAAAGATGGACATATCTGCAAAATAATGATGCGACTGTCTATTATAAAAATACCGTGCATTAGCTACGAGTATAATTCATAATATTCACTCGGAAGAGAGATTTAGTTCCGTAATATATCTTACACTGCAGTTTTCGTTGATATTCCTTTTCCACTTTTTCTTAGTTTCTTTGGTATGCATCGAGGGAACAAGGTTAGCGAATGGTTTTATTCTCGGGTTTAAACTTAAAAGATTCTTAAAAAAAAAAAAAAAAGAAGCGTTCGACATTTAATTAAAATACGTTTCACTGAAATTTTGAACACCGCGATGCATTTGATACTCACTTCGATATCAGGCACATCCTTGCTAAGCGTCGCGACCGATGCCATTTCTACACAGCAATAAACTAAAATTTCGTACAACTGACGTAGATATTGTCAATTATTAATAACTGAAGCAACTTACTTCGAGTTACCATAAAGACTGAGTAATTTACTCGAAGTTCAACTATTTCAATATACTACTATTTGCATACATAAGTCATATTTTACAGACAGGGATAATCTTTGTACCTTATGAGTAATCAGATAAGCTTAAGAACATTCATTCGTAAATGACATGATAGTGGAACTTCCCCACCACGAATTGATATGAACTTGTCCATTCTTCTGTGCATATAATCCTGTTAATCGACAGAAACACGTACAAGATCTATATTAATCGGTTCATAATTAACCGATTCAATCTCTGTTATTAGAAATCTTGATTGTTCGGAGCTATTCTATTTACTAAAAATAAAAGTTTGTATCATATTGTTCGCTCCTGTTTCGTATCTCTCTCATCTGAACCCAACAATTGCTATTATTCTTACGTATTATAAGTGATAAGATAGCGATAACTTGTAAAAGTGAAATTGGAAAAAATAATACGTCCTTCGATTATCCGTTGAATCTCGATTTATTTGGGCTGTTTGTCCCCCAATTAATCTGGCAATCGAGTAAATCATCAACCTGTACTTACAATTTCATTCAAATAAATGGAATTTATACAAACGTAGTACAAACTAGACAACTTTATGCGTATCGCCGATTTTTTCAAACTTACAATATCCAAATTAAAAGAATTAAAAGAATTACTTTAATTTTAATCAATTCAGTCCGGACACGAGGAGATATTGTATTGCACTCGTAGGAAATATTGTACCTTGATTTGCGAAATGCAATCGATTAACATTAAAAATTAACAACGGTATATTCCCTATAATCAAACATGATTACAGCCGGATGAGATTGTCCCTTCCGAATGTCGTTTAATTAAATATAAATACAAGGAAGTACTCTCTTCCTCGATATAATTACAAGACATAAAATCGCCCTGTAATCTTGCGAACTCTTTAATTAAATGTGAATGTTACGAGCCCACGAGACAAATGGTAAACTGTAACAAATACATACGTTCAGTATCCTCACTATAAAGGCAGACTCAAGATATGGAATTGCAGCCTGAGTGATTTGTTTGAGAAAATGGACATTTTTACGGAGAGACAAGTTAAGTTAAGAAAAATAAGCCCTAACAAGCATTTGCAAAATAGTTTATCGATCATTTACTATTTGGGATTCTGGTCGGAATGGGCTAAGTATAAGTATTTGTATAATATATACACGATTTGTAGTTTAATATTTCTGTTAGGAATTACTATAGCAAGCGAAGTCATGTACTTTATTATAAATTGGGGAAATCTAGAGCTAATGATAGCCGCTGCAAGTTTGCTTATGACATATTCTACGTATGCCGTAAAGGTATAATATTTAATATGTATCTTTTTATACAATTAATCATCATAGTACAAAGTTTAAAAATTGTATCGTGTAGTGACCTAACTGTTTTAATATTTTCACTCATCATTTCTATATTTATCAAATGTATTTTATTGTATCTCCCTGACCATTTTTACAATCTACAACATATTCTTGCATTTTTAAATAGGTAATTTATATTATTTGTCATCATAAACGTGTCAAAGATCTTATCGATATGACAAACATCGAAATGTTCAATCGAGATAACGATAAATACGAACGCGTCATAACATATTATACTTGGCAAGGAATTTTTCATCATATTGTTTATCAAAGCTTTGGTGGCATAGCTACAATATCTTGGGGATGTACTCCAGTATTATATCTAGTCAATGGAGCATCTAAACAATTACCATTAGTGGGATGGTTTCCTTACAATGTAACATCTACACCAGCTTTCGAAATTATTTCTTTGCATCAATTTATGGTTGTCCTTACAAGTTGCATCAACAACGTAGCAATAGATACTCTTATAACAGGCCTTATAATAACTGCTTATTGTCAATTAACAATCTTAAATTATAATATTTCTTCAATACATTGCACAGTAGAGAAAGAAGATACTATATTAAGTGATAATTTTGGTATTGGAACATCTACTTTAGAAATTTACAATAAATTATATGAAGATTTGAAACATTGCGTGAAACATAGTATTATGATATTTGAGTAAGTTTCTTAATTTATCTGAACATTTATTTTCCAAATATATTTATAATACAAATTATATTTTCAGTTTTTCAAAACAAATCCAAAATATATTTGGTATTTTGATATTTTTGCAACTTCTAGTAAATTGTATTACTATTTGTCTAATAGCATTCAACATATCGCAGGTAAATCTTGAGTATTAATTATGATTTTGTTCGATTTATGTAATCGTATTTTGTTACATTCACAGATGAAAAATTATGCACCATCTGAGTTATTTGGCACATTATTATATATGTGTTGTATGACATATCAAATCTTCATATATTGCTGGCATGGAAATGAACTATATCTTCATGTATGTAATTGTGATAAAATATTTAATAGCAATTTTATCTAAAAATTGTATTTTACAGAGTATAAAGATATGTTTATCTGCGTATGCAAATAATTGGTGGAATAATAACAAGAATTTTAATCGTTCTTTACTTATCATAATGACAAGAACTCAATGTCCTCTTATTATAACTGTTGGAAATATTATGGATTTATCGTTACAAAATTTCGTTCTAGTATGTGTACATCTGTATATAAAGAATGATTTTTAAATGCATGTCCATACTTTAGTGAATTTACACAATAAAATAAAAGCGTAATATATCATAGTCTTCCTATACCTTAATTTTCGAGTTATAAATGATTGACGAAATGTTCCATCTTCACTACACATCGTAGTACATTTAAACTTTATCTAATTTTACAAAAATATCCATCGCTATGAATTAATAAATCCTCATCTATTATTTTTGGTATAATTTAAAATCTATTATGTATTCAATAATGTGTATGATTTAGAAGAAAGGATTCAGGATGGATTTAAGACTATCCGAAAAATACTTGGTATTTTCAAGCGAGTGTAAAGAAATACAATAACATTATATTGAAGCAGAATGATTACATTGAACATTTTCTTCAATTATCTATAACTCAAAAATCAAGATACACACCACACACACACGCGCGCGCGCGCGCACGCACACACCTATATAGGATATATTTATGATATATTATCATATGACATTTTTTTACGGATTTCAATGTATAAATTCATTACTTAAAATACGGACATGTATTATAAACATCCTGTATATATTAATGTCTATTTTCATTATGTTGATTTTTCTTATTTATTTATACATTTATTAATGTGATTTTTAGATTCTACGTATGTCATATTCTATTTTTACCGTTCTAAAAACTTCTACAGATACTTAAAGTTATTAATGATTATAAATTTGCAGTAGAAAAATATTAAAAATATTTATTTAAAATTTATTAAACATTAATGAGTTTAATAGAATTTCAAATATAAAAATCTTCTAAATATAAAAATCTTCTAAATATAAGTATAGTATATAATATTAATATATAAAATATATAAAATATAAGTATAGTATATCAATATTAATATATAAAAATATAAATTTTTCAATGTCTTTACATTATTATATGTATAAAATATAAAACAATATTATATATAAAATATAAAAAATAAACATATAAACATACATTTTATAATACATGTATGTTTCAATATTTGTTATAATACGTACTTTATATCACAATTTTGTAAGCTTAGAACTTCTGTAATGATATGATTATAATGCTTCTATCATCACAGCTATCCCTTGACCTCCACCAATGCAAGCAGAACCAATTCCTAATTTTGCATTTTTTCGTCTCCTACAAAAATGGCATATCGTTTTTGTTAATTTATTTCAGATATTCACTTATTTTTTAACATTAACATACCTTAATTCATGTATTAAATGTGTAGTAATTCTACTACCAGATGCAGCCAATGGATGTCCAAGAGCAATAGCCCCACCATCTACATTTAATTTATTAATATCTAAATCTAACTCTTTAGCACATGCTAATGTTTGAGCTCCAAATGCTTCATTAATCTAAAAAATATATATAAATGATTATATATTTAATTTATATACCATTTAAATAAAATGTTTTCTAAAATTTTTACCTCGACAAGTTCAATATCATTCATATTTTTATTCGTAACTTTAAGAAGTTGTCTGATAGCTGGAGCTGGACCAATTCCCATAATACTGGGTTCTACACCTACAACACTATATCCTACTAAACGTGCTAATGGCGTAAGTTGTTCAGCCTTAACAGCTTTTTCGCTAGCTAAGATAAGTGCCGCTGCACCATCGCAAATGCCCTATATAAAAAAATTATATATTCAGAAAGTATGAAGTATAATTATAATGTAGTAAATAATTATAATGTATTATTATCTACAATTAACTTTAATAAAACACAATTTAACATACAGATGCGGATCCTGCTGTAACTAAACCATCTTTCTTAAAAATAGAAGGTAATTTAGCTAAACTTTCAGGAGTTGTTTGAGGCCTTGGATGTTCATCTGTATTAATAACAACATCTTGCTTTTTTACAGTTACTGTAACAGGTGCAAGTTCCTCTTTAAAACGACCAGCATCATTGGCTAAAATAATTGAAAATTAATTTTAATATCTTTATTCATTTATTGTAATAATTTAAGTAATTAATATGGAATTCAATATTAAAGACATTTACCAGCTTTCCATAATTGTTGACTTCTTAGAGCAAATTCATCTACTTCTTGTCTTTTTAAATTATATTGAGATCCAAGCTTCTCTGCAGTTCCACCCATAGGTATATTGCAGTAAGTATCAAGTAATCCAAGCCATAAAGCATCTTCAAATTCATACTTCTGGCCTAAAGTTGTACCAAAACGAATATTTCTTACAACAAAGGGAACTTGACTCATATTTTCTGTTCCTCCTGTTAAAACTATTTTAGATTCTCCTGTTAAGATACTCTGGAAATAATTAATTAATTACAAATTATCTCATATGTTTGCACAATATTTATTACAAATAAATTTTATTCCAATTTCATCTATACCTGTGCACCATTAACAATTGACTGAAATCCAGAACCACATAATCTATTTACAGAAAATGCTGGTTTTTCTAAAGGTATACCTGACTTCAATGCGACATGACGTGCTAAAAAACCTCCATCAGCAGATGATAGCTTGTAAATAATAATTGTAAATATTACAAAAGTAATGGAAATTTAATGAAAATAATTAATGAAAATAATCAATTGATATGCATGAATATTTAACTACATACAGCTAATACGTGTCCAAAAACAATACTATCTATTTTATCAGGATTTAACTTTGCAGATTGCAAAGCAGATTTTGCAGCAACAACTGATAAATCAGTTGCACTTTTATTGGCAAATACACCACCCATTGTACCAAATGGAGTACGTTTTGCAGCTACAATAAAAATTCCTGTAAAAGAAAAAACTAGTTCAATATATTTACATATTATTATTTTATAGTAATTATGCAATTATATTTAAGTTATAGCTAAAATAGCTTTATATCTTATATTTTATTATGTTAATCATTTTTTATGTTAATCAAACATATCTGAGTTCAAAGGTCGAAAAAAATATTTGCAAAACATCTAACATACTTTTTAATATACATATATGACACATCACTTTTCTAATACTATTAAATATGTTTTTAATATATTTTCATTAAATATAAATTATTTATTTACAGCTTTATTTTACATTAAAACATTTTTTTTTATTTCCTGCCACGGAAAAATTATAAGTTTATATATATTTATTTATATATTTTAAAAATTTATATATTTTGAAATATATCAAGTTTTAAATATATTATTTTTTTACATTTATCAAATATACCATAGAAAGTAAATGAAAAACTTGGAATTTATTAATAAGAAATTTAATAAAATATTTATTTTTCTCAGTAAAATGTCTAGAGATTTTTATTTCTATATAATAAATATTTTATCTAAAATGTTACATACCTTTCGTTGCAAGAGACATTGTAATAATAGATATTACTATAATAAACTATGTATCAAAATATTCAGGCAGGAGCGAATCGTACAGTGTCCAGTATTTTAAATACTTACATACTATTGCATCTTTGTACATATATACACTGTACTGTGTACTATATATGTGTGTATGTAATAGGCATAAACAACAGAAAATGGATGATAACCTTGCAAATGATTTTGTTAGCAATTAATCATTATTACGAATGAAACTTTGTTTTTAGGTTATTCAAAGGAATATAATGGCTTGAAACATGCATGCATTTTTATTGTAATAAATACTTTTATAAATATCAAGTTTCTTAAATATCACATGTTAAATTCGAACTTACAACTAATACGTAATTTTTAATCAAGTATTTTTTGATCCATCTTTGCATATATATCTTTTTTTACGAGTGGAACGCATAGAAATTGACAAAAATTTACTTATTTCCATAAATTTCTAAATAATTTGTACAATTATTTATTATACAATTACACCCACAAAAACGGATGAAATTGAGAACTACTTATTCTATGAATTGAAATTTAATTAAAATTAAATGGTTTGTTTACAAGAGATACAATACTTTATTGTGAGAAATATGAGGAATCATTTTATTTTATTCTTCATAAAATGGTTCACTGATGTCTGCTTGATATGCGTATTCTACTCCCTGTTGAAATCATTAATTAATTTTTAGCACCGCTCTTTTTATTCTAGACAAATTTTTACTTACTTCTTGAAAATGTTTGTACATTTCCTGTGCGACATGAACTGATGAAAAAGTGGCACGTAAAGTGCGTTTTTTCGGTGGTGTCAAGGCATAATCAATTGCTGTCCAAACGCATTCTTTTCCATTTATCTTCGTAAAATTATAATGTAACATTTATTAACTTAGAATCAGTTAAATAATTATATAATATAATATAATATAATATAATTTACCTCCATTTTTGTGTTCATACTAATAATCGTGTTGCTTACAACTTCATCTGTTTTATCTGCTTTTAATATTATTTTTTCACCAAAAATATTAGAATCATAATAAATAATTAAATTTCCTAGAGCTACAAGTTTCCATTGACTTTCTTTACTTGATCTAGTAAACAGAGTAGCCCTTTTTTCAAAAGTTATGGAAGCTTGATCATCATCATCATCATCATCGTCGTCGTCATCATCATCATCATCATCGTCGTCGTCGTCGTCATCATCATCGTCATCGTCATCATCATCATCATCTTCCTCTTCTTCATCCTCTACTTCATCTATCTCAACTTCGCCTATTTCGCCTTCTTCTTCATTTACCTCATTTTCCCCATCTTCCGGTTCTTCCATTACTGGACCATCTTCTACATTTTTTTCTCCTGCATTTATATAATAAAGGTTATAAACTCATATTTAAAAAATTTTAATTAAGAAGTAATGTGAAATTTAATTAACGTAAGTAATACAAACGCTATGTGCAAGCAGAAAGCCAATGTAAAAGCCGTTATCCTATAAAATTACATTATAAAAATTCATATCAAGTGAACACATTTAAAGTTGAGGTAAATTTTTATTTTAATTAATGAAAAAAATTTAAATTGAGTTTTATATATTAATTACATTTTATTCGATGTTATGCAACTAGATATATATTTGTACAAATTAGTTTCTAATATAGATATTTATAGTTATTTAGAAATTATTAACAAAAAAATCCACAGATATTGATAAAATTTATGATAATAGTACATTAGTTTAGTAACATAATTTTATCCGCCATAATATAAAGTGTCTGATTTTTTTTCTTGATTAGAAATGTGAAAAATAAATGAAATTAAATATGATTTAATAAAATAATTTTACATATATTTATATGATGCATTATTACCATTTTTTATCACAATTAATTTTACAATCAAATATATTAATCAAAAAGTTTTTGAAACATAATTTTTTATAGATAACAATCATCTTTTAAACAGATTTCTGCTGTTTCTTCGTTACAAATATTACATACTAAATTGTAATATTTTTAAATAATAGTACATTTTAATAATATAAATAAAGCTATATTAATATGTTTGATAATAAAGAAATATGTTTTGTATAGTATACGTATAATACGAATATATGTTTTATATAGTATACGAATACACATGCAGCCACAAGCAAGGATTATGAGAAGCATTATTAAACAAGAGGTTTCAGCTTATTCCTTACGGCTTTCGCTTAGCGATTGTTGGATTTTATCAACTGTATCCTTGAAATTTTTTGCCAGTTCTAGAGTTTTAAATTTAACTGCTAGTTGTTCTATACATGGTTGTTCTTCAGCATAATTCATGCCTGCCCAGACCCAAGCACGATCCGTCGAAGTCATTTTATTAAAGGTAATGTCTGGAGTAAGTAACAGGTTGCATACTACTTTATAAACTTGATCTCGACGTAACAGTAATCTGTATCGGCCATATTTTGCATGATGTAAAATTTTCATCTCTCCAATTCCTCTTTCTTTCCATTCACACACATCCTTATCGTATCTGTATAATTTTGCTTTTTCGCAAAATACTATAACAAACATATGATCATTTAAAGATAGATATATTGTTTTTTCTTAAAGAATTATTTTAAATTATACCTTTTTCTTCTTCTTCTTCTCCTGTATGTACTTCAATAATATCGGGTAGAGGTACAATAGGCTCAAAATGAGGATCATGTTCTTGATCATTTTCGGTTTGATCATCTTCCTCCTCTTCGTTTTCATCTTTTTTTTCTACTGCAACTTCTTTCTTTTTTTGTACAGATTTTGATTTTGAACCAAATACAGCTGACCCAGCACCAGCAAAAGAAAAATTTGGATCTGCAAAATAAATATGTGTATAATAGTACTTTTTTAAATTGCTATTATGTAGATAATGATGTGAAAAACTTACCTGTTTTAAATGTAGATTGGGAACTTTTGGCTGCTAAAATTGAAAATGATATCTCTGTTGTTGGAAAGAAAATCTCACCTTCCTTTTGTGTTTCGCTTGTTGTTGGTGTTATTGTTTCAAAAGCATTAGTTGTTACAGGATTTGAAATTGTAAAAGATGATGTATTTGTACGTGAACCAGAGAATAAATTAGATGAAAATGATGCAGATGCATTAGGAAATACTGAATTAGTAGATTTAGCAGATGCATCAAATGATGTTGAACCTGTGGTTGTTGTGCTTTCAGAACTTTTTAATCCAGAAGTTCCGAAAATAGGAGTAGCACCAAATGCCATTGTAGTATTTGTAGTTGTTTTTGGTTGAGTGTTGAAATTAGTTGAAAATACTGATTCAGAATTATTTGTACTGACATTGATGGAACTGGGCTTGAGTAACCCAGAAGAATCTTTCTTCAACATTCCACCAAAAATATTTTTTCCTGTATTATCTAATTTTGCCATTCCAAATATAGATGTAGAGGTTATTGATGGTGTCATAAATGAAAAAGATGTAGTTGATTCTATTTGCCCTTGAGAATTAGTGGGACTGCAGATTTTCAAATTCTCAGGTATTAATGTATTTTGTTTATCGGCTGCAGATTTTTGTATCTCATTTGTACTGGACGTAGTTTGAGGCATTACAAAAGAAAAACCAGTTTTCTTATCATTTGATGTAGTAGTATCAATATTTCCAAATGGTATACTTGATGTAGTTGTTGTAGATAGAGAATTTGTTGTAAATTGTGGTATGGTTGTACCATATAGTCCAGATTTGAAAAGAGAAGAAGCAGTTGTACTAGTAGTTGAAACAGGTGTTTGAACAGTTGTAATTTCGTTAGATGTATTGCTTGAATTATTAGTGTTTGAAAGTAACTGTGTCCCAGATGTAGTAATCAGAGATTTTTGATCCTCTGTAAATGTTTTTGATGTTGATATTGCTTTTTCAAGATTTTCATCTGGAAGTAATGATGCATCTGAATCTCCTTTACAACCTCTACATCCAGGACAATCTGGTTTTTGTTTGTACGCGTAGAAATTTTCTGGAAGCTGAAACTTTAGTGCAGCTTGTTTTTCTTCGGGTGTTACTTTCATTTCATACAGAATTTCAATATCTTGCGCAAAAGAAACTTCGGTAATTGCTTCTACTTTTGTTTCAGTAGTTTTTTCAATGGATGGAAGCTTTATCCTTGATTTGTCAATTACATCTTTAAAATTATTTGCGATGTCAGATGTTTTAAAACGACATGCAAAAAGAGTGGGTTCAATTTCTCCTTCACTATAATCAGCAGCATTCCACATCCATGTTTTCTCATCCTTTGGCTTCAATTCCAAATTTGGAAGCACAAAATGATTCAGACACAACTTTAATATTTGTTCGCGTCTCATTACTAGCCTCAATTTACCTGTTTCCTTATGCCGTAATAATTTTATGTCACCTAAACCACGTTCTTTCCATTCATTTTCCGATTTATCGTATCTAAACAACTTTGCTCTGTGACTATAAAGAACTTCTTCTTCCTCTTCTCCTGTTTTAACTTCAATTTTATCTGGCAATGGAATTATAGGTGAAAAATGAATGTCATCACTTTCCGCTACTTCCTCTTCACTATTTTCTTCACCACCAGATTTTGTCGGAGATGATTTGGACACAAAATTAAACCCAAACGGTTTTCCTGGTGTTCCAAAAATGAATGTAGAATCCTTGCTCGTTGGAGTGTTCGATTTTTGTTGCATTCCAAAAACAAATTTTGCATTTGACGTATCCATTTTTTCATCAGATTTTGAAGATGTAGATTTATCTATGGAAACATCACTAGTACTAGATAAACGAAATGAAAATCCACTTGTACTTTTTTTAGTACTGTCTTGTGGAATACCAAAGGTAAATGTAGGTGTAACTCCAGAAGAACTTGTATTTATTTGAAAACCATCAGTTTTTGGTTTGGGTGGAAGAGATGGATCTTTTGGTGTATCGCAAGCGACGCAATAATTACTTTCTGCTGCGTTAACTATGTCGCAAGATTTACATTTCCATGAACCAGCAGGCGGTTTAAACATTTGTGAATGAAGTTTTTGATTTGATGTAATAGTACTTGAAATACTTGACTTATTAGACATAGAAGGACTTGGCGCTTCGCAAGCTAAACATTTTGCATCCGATGCGGTGTTTCTTGTATAGCAAGCATTGCATTCCCACGAACCAGGTGGTGGTTTAAACATTTCAGACAAAGAATTCTGTATTTTATTTGGTTGTGTATTTTGAAGAGTCTCTGATTTTTTCAAATTTTCAGCAGTTATACAATCTTTTATCATTTTTTGCTGATTACTAGTAATTGTATTACAAAATTGAGAAGCTTGATTAGACGTTTTAAATCTTGCTGCAAACATTCCGATTTTGTTATCTGAACCATATTGTATATTCCAATTGACAACTGTATTACTATTACTTTTGACTGTAAATGGAAATTTAGCAAGAACATTGTAATTATAACAAACTTTCATATTTGTTTCGTCTATCATTAATAAACGAATTTTATTTGTTTTGGAATTCCATAAAATCTTTATCTGCCCAGTACCTCTGTTTTCCCATTGTTTAACGTCATTGTTATAGTACTGAAGATTAACTTTCTCATTGAATAACGCTTCTTCACATTCAAATTGCATACCAGATTTGTCTGCATCTTGAATGCCCACAATAAATGTTGGAATAGTTGAATTTCCAAGAGTAGAAGCATGAGGTCTTCTGAGTGAAAATTGAGAAGTACTAACAGAAGTACTTTCGCTTGTAACAGCAGTACTAATTGGTTGTGAAGACGAAATTGGTGTGTTATGAATACTAACAGTTGGTACTGTTGTAGCTCCTGATTGTAAAGGTGTAGTTGGTTTTGTAAATGGAAAAGTAAACTGTGGTGTAGCTATTGTGCCAGAGGTCATGCTTTTTTGCGATGAAGTTGTAAAACTTTCAGCACTTGTTACAGTCTTGTTAAACGTAAAACCAGCAAATGGACTAACTTCTGATTTAGTAGGAACTTTCGCAGGTTCAGTAATCATTGGTTTTTGAATAATTGGTGTTGATGTAAATGAAAATCCACCAATAACCGTTGTAGGTGCATTAGATTTTAATTTCTCTGATGTAATGCTTTCTGTAGTTATAGTCACATCTGTAGATTGTTTTTGAACAGTTTGCCCAGAAATAAATGGTGTTTGTTCTACAGCTTTTAAGTCTGATTTTGTTTTCTCTGATTTTTTAGAACCACTTAATGTACTGATTTTAGTTGATGGTTTATCAATATTTTCAATTACTTTCTCAGAAGTAAGACTTGCTTTAGCTTTATCAAAATGTTCTTTAAAGGAAATACCTTCTTCAACGGTTTTAAATTTAATACAAAACTTTTCTATTTTCAACTCTCCATCAGCAAAATCATGTGCAACCCAAAACCATGCTTTTTCATTATTTGATTTAGCAGTTAATTCCATATCTGGCACAAGATAATGATTTGCACATACTTTTAATACTTGTTCCCTACGCATAAGTAAACGAACTTTTCCTTCTTCATTTTTAAGTAATTTAACATTACCTATACCACGTTCTTTCCATTCATTATCCACGAAACGATAAAGTTTAGCTCTTGCGCAAAATAGTGTCTCTTGACCCTCTTCTCCAGTCGTGACTTTAACTTCTGCAGGTAATGGTATCACAGGAATAAAATCTGGTATTGGATCGTGTTCATGATCTGAACTATTTGCAGATCCAGTTGAACAAATAGTAGTATCTTGCTTTGGTGTCTCTGATACAGAAAGATTTGCTGGAATAGTTGTAAGAGTATTCGACAAAGGTGGTAAGTTTACTGTTGTTGGTATAGTAGCTTGGGAAGGCATAGAAATTTGATAACAATGTGGAACAGTTTGTTCTGTGGTAACTGGAGTAGAAGAACTACCTTGTCTGAAATGTGGAGGAATTGTTACACTAAGTGTTGGCTGGACAATTGGTGCTGTAGTTGGAAGTGTATCAGAAGTGGTAATGGCAACATTAACTGGTGGAATTTTATTTACAGGAGCATCCTTTATAGTTGACTCTGGCTTTGATGTTTCTACCTTTTGCATTGGAATTTGCAATGATTGATTTGTCGGTGGTATAAATAAACTTTGTTGAAGAATATTTTCGGGCATTTTTGATCTTGTACTAGGATACAGTACCGGCATTGAATAAACATTTGGTGGATATAAAGAAGGAATAGCTTGCGTATTTGGATCGTTGAATGACATTCCTGTTGGATAATATCCTTGAAAAGTAGCTGAAGGATATACCAACTGAGAGTATGGATGTCTGTGAGAAGATTGGAATATATTCCCGGATATCGAGGACGCGGTACCTGATTGACTTGCAGTGTAATTCAAATCATTGTAATCATCTTCGTTTAAAATACACAAATCTTCTTCCAGATTGGAATTAACATTGACTATTTGAGTACGTTGTTTCTGAATTTCTTTTCGTAATTCTGTTACTTCTTTCGCTAATTTTTCGATTTTTTCCATTACTGTTTTATTCAATTCTAATATAGTTTTATTTTGCTCTGATATTGATTGTATCTTACTATCCTTTGCATGTATCATTTGATTTAGTGAACGAATTTGAGCATCAAGGCGTTCAGGACTTGGACGTGCTTCAGAACGATTTCGAGATAAATCCAATATATCTTGATATGCCTTGTAAGGAGTGCTAGATTGTTTTGGTGTGCGATGTACGTTTTTCTGTGGTGTACTCAAAATGTTAACTGAAGGATTTAATCCCGTTAATGTTGATATTTTTGTAACTGCTTGATCAGGAACACTATGAGCAGAAGAGTAACTTTCATCTGACATTCCATCGCATTCATTTCGACTTAAATCACCTCGTGATAGATCTGGATCGATTCTTTTCAATTTGTTTTCAATATTGGTAATGTATGTGGAAAGTAACGAGTTCAAAGGATGTTTTGGATCTGTACTTGGACTGCGCAAGCGATCTAATGTTAGATAAAAACATTCTCTTGCTTTTGAAAGCATAATTATATGTTGCGATCTCATTTCAGATGTTAAACTTTCCTTGGGTATAGAACTGACGATCTCATCTGCAAGCTTTTCATACATTTGGCCTTGTTGAACTGAAGCTTCTGGACATTTTAGTGCCTGTAGTGCATCTATAGCTTTCTCGTATTGCTTGTTGCGTACAAATTGTTGAGCCAGAAGCAATTTACCTTCCTCTAAAGCTTTAATTAATTCTGCATTATTCATATCTTTCCCTTGATAGTTGAAAAATTTAGAATTAGTTATACGAATAGTTTGATTATTTTGTAATCTTTCGAGGAGCGGTATTGCAGCTGACCAATACATTTCAGATCGTGCTTCTAAATATGGTATATCACTATTTTCTTGATCTATTTCTTTCAATACCTCTGCTCTATGATGAAATATTCGCGCTAAGTGAACTAAAAGAACAGGATGTAATCCGTGATTTCCAAGGCAACGAATTACTTCTAAGCCTCTTTGTAATTCTAATCTCAATTCTCCAATATCATCGTCGAGTGGTTTTTGTTTATCCATGGAATATACTTTATAAGCGTAAGACCACCACTGTTCTTGAGCACAAGTACAAAGAGTATTAGTAAGATCTGCTGGCAATGTAGGTAATTTTTCAGGATTCAAAAGCCCACTCAATTGTTGTTCTTCAATTACCGAAGAAGTGCAGATAGCAGCATTCAAAAATGCATCGATATCGAGACGACTTAAACTTTCAGGAGCTGCTTGATGTAAATTATAAACAGAAAATTGTAGTTCACAAAAAACATGCGATGTTTGATTTGGATGGGGCCCATTATCTTTATTTGGTGAGCCATGAGGTCGTGCTCTTAAACCAAGCCAAACTTGATGATGTAATGAATCTGGCCATACTTCTTCTGATATTTCATCAAATCGTTTCAGTTCATTAAATGAGCATAAACGTAATGGTGGATTTGAAATTGAAGAGTTCACGAAATATGATGATGTTTTACGATTCTGATACAATCGACCAACAAAGATTCTTTGGTACACTCGTTCTCTCCATGAACTTGTACAAAATTTATCAATTTTATCTAATAATTTCTTAGTATTATCACGAGCATAATCTCGAAGTACATGACCAGCTTGGCTATATCTGTATGCTCCTTCTCTATACCAAACATGTACTTGATTCTTAAATCTATCTTTCAAATGCATAGTCCATACTGCAGTAGGATCTATAGGTGCTACATGTAATGCAGTTAACAAAAGAGATCCACACAATCTACCTGCTTCAGACCAACTATCTTCAACAACTTTAGTTTTCCGTAAAATTAAATATGCTAAATGAAAATGTAATTGACCCCACATATGTAGTAACATGTGTTCAATGAAAGCAGGATGAGTAGAGAAGTTTTTTGATTTAAATTCAAATAAACTTTGATCAAAACTGCAATATAAATATTTTAATTTAGTAATCACATAGATATTTTTAATAAACTATATAATTCATAATACAAATGTACTTACTTAAATACTGCTTGTGTAATATCGGTTATACTTTTTCTAATAACATTACCCTGTTCTTTAAGGCAAAGTGCCGCATATCTTTCTAACACGGAAATATAAAATATCCAAAATGTCCAATCTGACTGTTTATTCTCTTTACATTTCACAAGTAATTCACTTATTGATTGATACCAAACAATATTATTTCTGTGACAATGTGTTGCCTCAATTTCAGCTGCTTTATTATATGCATCTTCAAGTCTATGATTTCCTATATAATGTTTGAGCAACTTCACTTGTAGATGCACATCTGTTTGTCTTACCGATAATTCAGCTAAAAAAAGTTATATTATTATAAATAAATTAAATTATATCATGTGATTATATAAGAGAAATGTTGATACTTACATAAAATAAGTTTTTCTAAATCATCATCATTACCATTTGGTTTTTCCAATGTTAATAATTTTTCCTTTAACTCAAAAACTATTTGATGATGTGGAAATTTCTTATCAGCTCTCTCTACCCAGTATTGAATTTCATTCATGTCTATACTAACATCCATGTCAGGCAATAGCTCACATACTAAAAACCATTATTAACATGATGGTTTAAAATGTAAAATATTATTTTGAAATATAAAATAACAAATTTGAAAAATTCAATTATACCCTTTAAAAGAAGATCATCTTGCTTTGGTTCTAATTCAAGTGATATTCTATATTGCATAAATGCTGCTTCTTTTTGTCCCAAAGCTTCAAGAGCTTGACCTAATAATTTATGAGCCCCTGCAGATTTATCTCTTATTTCCAAATAATTTGAAACATATTTTTTTGCAGATTCATGGTCTCCAACTTGGTAATATAATTTTGCAATATTGTAACATCGAAGCTTTTTCTTAAAAAAGAAACAATATTAAATGTGTACAACATATGTTAAGATGCTTAATTTTTATGAAAGCTTATAAAATTACTAATTGTAAGATATCATAAACATCGAAAAAGAAAGAAAGCAACAGTACAAACATATATTATTAGAGTAAATAAATATTTGCACAACTCTGAATCATTTAAAAAATATTTGAACAAATACAAAAGTAATGTTTTTTTAATGAAATGCAAGATCAAAATTATTTTCCAAAACATTAACTTTTCCTGTTCTAATTAGAAAAAGCAGCCAAACTACATATAAGTTAGCACATGTACATGTATATATTTTTTTCATAATCAAGTCAAGGCCTTTGGCACTATGCAATACATTTGACATTACACATAAACATGACAAGTTAATGAGCGTATAAAATAAAAACAAAACGATAATTTTAAGAAATAACTGAACACATCAATATAAGAGTATTTTACTAATGTTTTAAAAAAAAAACGGCTCTTTCAAAAAATAACCTTACCTCCTCTGAGCTTTTGAGTTTGATAAAAATGTCTTTTACGTGTCGGTCAACATCCTTTTTCGTTCGAAACATCTTCAGAATATAGTACAAAACTTTCTTTAGTAGTCACTAAAAAAAATTAATCAATAATATTCGATTAAAATGAAATTAGAAATACCGTTACACAGTATGCAGTCAACGATAAGACTTTCTCTCATAGCGTAATAGCATAAAACGTTTTCAACGGTTCATCTAAACCAGAAATATTAAAAGTGCTGCCCTCTAATATATTCACGGATTTATTTAAAATATATACAATCTTTTACAAAAGATATCCACGGCGCGGTGGTTATTCAAATTATTACCAAAAGTCAAATTTCGTGGTTTGAATTTAATGTGCGTAATTGACAAAAAAAAAAAATTATCAAACATATTAAAAGTCATTGATTCATCAGTCATTGATTCATCAACCATTGCAATCAGTGTGAAGTTATAAGTAAAATTTAAAATGAAAAACAGGCAGCCACTACAAAAGCAATCGTAAATACGATAACCAATATTTATTATTTTGAGTGTAACAGTGTATATTTTACTTTTTTACAAGAATAATAACTAATATAAAATGAATATGAATAAAATATTATACAACTGTAGGATATTTATTTTCAAATTAACACAAATATTAAAACTATTGTTAAAATCATGTATAAAATATTTTGTTAAAATGAAACATAAAAATGATATAAATATATTATATCATAGCGAGAATTTTTTAGTCGTTTCCAAGCCGTATGATATGTGTATTAATAGCAATAACTGTGAGAAAAAGGTATGACAAAATATTTTTAAGTTAGAGACACTATATTTATTAGTTTGATAAATATTAAAATTTTTAGGATACACTGCAATTTGAATTAAAAAAAATCTTACCAAAACTAGTCAATCCAAATTTATTTCATGAATTTCATTTTGTACATAGATTGGATTATGCAACAAGTGGTGTAATATGTATTGCATTAAATAAAAAAGCAGCTCGAGCTGCTTCTAACGCATTTGAAACAAGAACAGCCAAAAAATTTTATTTGGCACTACTCCATGGGCACATTAATGAATCTTATCTTATTATAAATAAAGCTATTGGTTGGTAATTAAAACAAAACGTTAACAGTATTAGTCTGAAAAATTATATATTAATATTAACATTATTTTATTAGGAATTGATGCCAGAGAAAAAGAGGGAAATCATAAAATGTGTATCAGTGACAGTTTATTTTGTGAAAAACCAAAAAATTCATATACAATTCTTATAGTATTAGAGAGAGGTTTCAGAAATGGAAAACCAGCTACTAAAGTACTATTATGCCCTGCTACAGGCAGAAGACACCAATTAAGAGTACATTGTTCATATATTGGTCATACTGTGATTGGAGATTATACATATAGCGAAAGAAAAGATATAGAACCTTATAGAACATTTTTACATTCCTTCAGGTATTACATGTATAAATATATATATATATATACACAGTAAAAAAGAAAAAAATTATATATATAAAGAGATTATTTATGTATTTATTATTTATACTTTTTAAGGCTTATATTGAACAATGATATTGAAAATTTAGATGTGAGAAGTACAGATCCATTTGCAGCTTCTGACCCAAAGAATCAATGGTCACCAACAAATGTTGCTAGGGTATTAGATGAAGATATATTTTATGATATTTATAATCTTTTGCAATCAAATAAACAATGAACTTTTACTTTGCTTTGTTTAACTTATTGCTTGAACTCCACATCCTTGTATTGTAAATGGAATAGTTATTTCTGGTAAATTTGATGACAATCTCACACAAGCATATCTCATAGAATCTAGTCTATAAAATTCTATGGAATTAGTTATCATACTTAACCAAGTTGCCCCCAAAGTTGGTCGCACGATTAAATTATCATTAAGTATACTATTATGTATAACTGCTGCTACCTACTTATAAATTTTCTATGAAATATTCATACTATAATATTCATACTATATATAGAATTTGTTGTCTTTACCTGATTAATACAAACTACACAAATATTATTTCTACATAATTTATGTAATTGTTGTCCAACTATTCTCAAACTCTTTGCCCTATTATTAGATTCATCATTCCAGTCTTCTACTCTATATGGAGCAGCAATGGAATCTATAATTATTAATCCTATCTTTTGTGCAGACATTAATATTGGAATTCTATGAAGCAAACATGTTTCTAATTTCTCCTACAAAAAATAAAACATTAAATATTGCATTAAAAAGTTATTGCATTAATTAAAACAATATTTATATTATAATTACAATAGTTGGTATGTGTTCTACAAATACTGAATCACCATTTATTCCATATTTTTTAGTAATTTCTAGTTTTTCTATCAATTCCTGTAATCTTCGTGATGGAAATACAGATTCAGTACAAATATATATTGCACCTACATTAATCATTAAATATATTTTTTAAAAAATATATGAAAAACAAGAAAATATTAATGTTTATTTATAACTTTATAGAAAATGTAATTTATAAAATACCAGCAGCAAAACCACCTTCTGTTGTAGGTAATTGTACTGTCAGGCATAATTGTAAAGCTAATTGTGTTTTTCCTGTACTTGCAGTTCCATAAATTTGTGTAATCCCGCGAGTAGTAATACCACCTTGGAGTAACTTATCAAATTTCGGACAACCTGTTGTGAGAAACTTCTCACGTTCTTTTGTTACTTTTGCGTTAACTAATTTTATGAAATAAAATAAATAATATAATTTATTAATATTATAACATGTAAAAAAATAAAATGTTAATACCAAAATAGTTTTCCATTATATTTTTTATTGTCAATACACGAATTGTTCAATCATTCAATAGAAGTCGTTCATTGTACAAAAAAACATTACTATATGGATACTGCGAACCAAAGATAGATGGCAGTGAAAACATCGGAAACACTTGAGTGAAAAAAAAGCTAAATTTATGAATATATAACTTTATACACAATATGTTGATTATATATGTAAAGAATTCAATATACATATCAAATTTTATTACATAGAAAAAATATATTTTTATTATTCTAAGTTTTGTAAATTAAAATTAAATTTTAGTTTCACATAATATTTCTATTTCAAACAACGAAATGTTTCCTAGTGATATTTTAATTATTTTTTTTTCGCAACTTTTTCTTTCCTCTTTTTTATATGTTTTTTTATTTTAATTTTTCTTTTTTCTGCTTGTTGTTCTTTTATTGCTTTTTTTCGTGCCTTTAATGAAATATATATTATTATACTTCACATACTATCACATATAAATGTATTATAAAGGATAATTGTATTACCTTCCTACTGTTTGGACTCTCATTCCGTGGTCGTGCCGAGTTAACAAACTTTGATTCATTTTCTGCTATATTTTCTTCACTATTTTCGTCTTCAGAATCATCAATTTCTTCAGACGAATTATCTTTTTCTTCTGTGTTATCTATTTTCTTCAAGTTTTTACTGAGAATTTCAGGAGTATCAATGGGTTTGGATAAATCTGGTTTTAAGCCAATAAGAGTTTTATATATCAAATCCTCTTTTCCAGATTTGGCAAGTTTAATGTCACGTTCAATGTCAATTACCTAAACATTATATTGAAGTATATATTATAATTTAATACATGTATACTTGAATAATTGTATATTTATATTACCATAATATTACCTGACTTAGGTTTTGAGGAATATAAGCTTGCTTGAACACTTGTTCTTCTATTTGTTGTTTAGGATCATCTTGATCATTCTGTTGTGATATTTGTTCTGATATTACATCTAAATATTTATCCATATTTTCTTCTGTTATCGTTGGATCCGTTATAAAGTCAAATAATGCTTTAACAGACATCACTCCTACTTGATTCTTCTTAAAAAATTCTACAAAAATATTAAAATATATAATTAAAATCTTTATAAACCATGTTAGTAAAAGCATTGTGGAACTTACCAGTGACATTTGTACAATCTTTTCTAAGAAATTCAAGTGCCATAGGATGATCATGTTCAACTGCTTGTGATACATCTATTATTATAATAGATCCATCATGATATAACATATTATATTCACTTAAATCAGCATGAACGAGTTTGCATTTATTATACAGTTTCCACATTATTTCAATACATTCTCTGTATAATTTTCTTGGTTTAGAAGCAGTCAGAACAACATCTTTTAATTTTGGTGATGGACAACCGTTAGTTCCTATGAAATCCATTAATAGTACATGACTACGTAATAGAATTGGTTTTGGAGCAATTACTTTTCCCTGATGAAGACGAATTAAATTTCTAAATTCCTTCTCTGCCCATGTCCGTACCATTTTTCGTGGATTATGGCGACAATATCCGTGACGAAAACGGAATTCTCCTGTAACATATTTATCTCTGTCTTTAAATTGCAAAATTGATGTTTTATATATTTTTATTGCAAATTCTATTCCCGTTTTTGATGTTGCATGATAAACATTAGCTTCTTTTCCAGTTGAGATACATCCATTAATTTCTGCAATTATACCCTGATTTAAGAGTTTAAACAATATCATTTTTGTACGGGGATCTAAAACTTGTTCAACAGTTGCACGATCATATTTATCTTTTGTTCTAAATCTATCTTTTTCTACACGTTTATCATTTTCAATTAGGAGATTTGTTGCATGCCCTGGTAAAGTTGGACCTTCATATTTTTCAATATTAATTTTATTAGCATAGCGACGAAATAATTTATCTGATGGTTGATAATTAGTAATCTTATTGGAAACATTTTGTGTATTAATATTTTGTGTTTGAATATTTTTGGTAATATTTTTTGAACCAGTTTTACTTTGTTTTTCATCCCAAATAAAATCATTTTCTAAATTATCATCATAATTCTCATCATCTTCGTCTTTTTCATTGCTTGAAATATGTAAGTCTTGCACAGCTTTGGACAATTGATAACGAAATAATGGTTGACCTTCACATGTTTCTAATCTGTAATAAGATCAAAATCAATATTTTTCACATGTTATTACAAACAATATATGATATATGCAAATACTTTATCTCAGTTTCATCAGCATCACTGAATTGACCGTCTTCATTATAATCATACATGGTAGAATTTTATTTTTTTATATCTACTTTATTCTAAATATAGGAGCACTAGAATCTAAATATCACAGTTTCCGAAAATTTGATATATTAGGTT